GGAGCAGGAACAATTTTACCTTTACTTTCTTTTCTCTTCATACAAGTTTCATAAGCAAAGTGTGGATCAATAATTTCATAAAATCCATGACTGTGAAATGAAATGGCGTGTTCTAAGGTGTATGGCGCACTTGTATTCCATCCCTAGTTGGTGGTATACAGAGGGAAAATGATTACTTTCACTGGTCCAAGTCGCCGTATGGATCCGTTTTCTTCTTGACTTCGCTGCTTCATGGAGGAGATACGTTGATGTGAACATACAGCAGAGACGTCATAATTCTGCGTCTGCCTTCTGCAGGGTAGGAGGGGAAGAGAGGGATCAGACCCCCAGGGAGATTACATGATAGAAATATCACTTCCTTCTTCCTTCAGGGCGCTTAAAAAATATTTCACGGTTGAGATGTCTAGGGGTCTCAAACCTCAACTTTTCTTTTTTGGAAGGAAGAATATCTATCTCCTTAATGCTTTTGTACACACTGTACGCCCAATTACAGTAAAGCCCATACGAAATTTAGGGACGTACACCAAAACACAAAAATAGAAACGATAGGTTCTATTCATAATACAGACACAATATCTTGACTATTTGTCACACACGACGGACAGGTTACGAAGAGAAAAGGAAATTGAAATTGTTTTAAGAATCTTTTGGAGGGAGTTATGGCCGTGCTATAATTAACACAAATCAAAAGAACGCTCTTTAGGGAGCAGGATAATGACAGTCTTCAACAATACTATGAAAAGAGACCTTACATTGTACGTTTAACAAGGTTGTTCTGCAGATGGAACAGCATGCTTTCGAATTATCTTACATGCAAGAATAGGTGGTTCCCTGTCTCCATGGCATGGCGCGTCTTCAGGTTGCGGATGGAGGGAGGCTGCGAATATATCGAATAAGCAGTCGCGGACAGGCGACAAGGAGTGGTCCTCCAGCTTGGGGTTGGGCGTGTGGCTAACAACTCCTCACCGTAAAAAGTAAGCTTGTTACGAAAATGTTAAAAAAGCCGCGGGCCTGGACGGATCCTGTGGCTAAACGACCTAGGCGAAAAAACTGCATAATGAGGAGCTTCATAACTTCTACGCTCCTCAAAGTATAATTAGAATCGTCAAGTCAAGGAGGATGAGGTGGGCAAGGCATGTAGCACGAATGGGGAGAGGTAAATGTATATAGGATACTGGTGGGAAATCCGGAAGGAAGGAGACCACTGGGAAGACCAAGGCGTAGGTGGGTGGACAATATTAAGATGGATCTCAGAGAGATAGAATGGGATGGTATGGATTGCATTGATCTGACTCAGGATAGGGTCCGCTGGAAGGCTCTTGTGAACACGGTAATGAACCTTCGGGTTCCATAAAATGTTGGGACGTTCTTGAGTAGCTGCACAATTGGCAGCTTCTCAAGAAGGGCTCAGCTCCATGAGTGAGTGAGTGAGTGAGTGAGCGAGGGAGTGAGTGAGTGAGTGAGTGAGTGAGTGAGTGAGTGAGTGAGAATAAGAAATGTACCAAATCTCAGAAAGAGAATTATATCCTTCAATTCTTTGATTCCATATTTCAGATATGCTGATCAGTTACGACCATGACGAACTTCTCCCATATAAAGAACAAACATTAAATTCATTGTCACTTGACACTTATTGTAACCGGTGAGAAGTCTAGGCAGCTTCTACACGAGCGCACAAAATGCGTCCTTTGTAACGAACGTACTTTGCTGAGGACGTTACTGAGGACACCACACAGTTGCAGAATGCGGTCCGTAGTTTTCTGTCTGCAATGGAGCCAGAAGAAAGCGTTGGATTCGCGTCTCTTGTTTAGTTCTACAACGGATGTCACGACGTTCGTTACAACGGACGCATTTTGTGCGTTCTTGTAGAAGCTGCCTAAAAGCCTGCACTGAATTAAAGAATAAGTATTAAGGCTTCAGTATTTACTGTTATTACACACATACACACTCACACACTCTGTGGTCTGTAGTCCGCAAGCGAACTATACCGACCGAGCGACCGTCGTTTGTCGGCCAAGTTAGTGCCAACTTTTGCGGATAGAGGGTGTGGCGTGGTCAGGGCAAGGGATCCCCATCGCCGTTAACCTCGGGTTTCTAGACCGGAGCCACTATTTCTTTGAAATAGCTCCTCAATTACCCTTATGAAGCTGAGTGGATCCCGTTTCAGACCCAGAAAATCTGGTAGCACCGGGAATCGATCTCGGGACTTCTGGATCTCTAGCCAGGAACTCTGACCAATAGACCACAGAGGCGGTCACTGTTGTACATTGAAAGAAAATTATATATATATGTAAATTGTTTAATACACGTTTCAAATTCGTTATTATAGAGCACTGCGTTGAAAGGGCAAAAAATAAGTCTGAGTTCAACGGTCTGAACTTACCTTCGTCTGACCCTTATCGAAATCATTAGAATTCTCTGATCTTCGCGTGTTTCTGCGGAAACCACTACAGATTCTCCGGCAATCTTCGCATGTGTTCAGAAGACCACACCACACGAATGGCGTCCATTTTACTCAGTTAACTACAAAATCGCAAGCATTGCTGGAGATAGTATTGGGCGTACAACTTGTGTTTCATTTTTCTCTACAGCTTTTGTTCCAATAACAGTTTAGCGAATTGTGCTTGAGAAGCGCAGAAGCGCATATAGCACTTCATGTAAACTGCCTGTTACATCTGGTCAATTTTAACAAACATCTGAATTTGCTCAAACTCCTCTATATCATTCTCGAGAATTCTATGAAAACACGTACGGCAAATGTAATGGGTGCTTGGCACAGTACCGAACGTGCCTGCAATTATTATTTTTTTTTCCTTGGCACTACAGCCCCAGTGGGCCTAGGCCTACCTCCATGAACTCCGTTCACTTTCGGTTTTTCTAGATCTTACACATTCGGTAGGACGCCTTGGGCGGGTGATCAGTTCGTCGCAAGGCCTCTACCTGTACACATACACAGAAAAACGCACACACACAAACTAAACATCCATGCCCTGAGTGGGATTCGAACCCACGATCCAGGCTTCCGAGCGAGCGAAGACAGTACATGCCTTAGACCGCTCGGATACCGTAGCCAGGCAATTAATATTATTATTATTATACTTTATTTCTAATAAGTTTTTAAAATGGCATTAATACTGCCCCTCTGTCCTCGAAACAGTTGGCATTCGTGTTCCTACCCGGAACATACGCAACTTTACCATGTTCAATTGCTCCTACAAACACTGCCCCTCCGCTAAACGTTTTTCTCCTATTAATACAATTTGTGACTCTTCAAATATACTTTTATAAATTCATTTTTAAATATAAGAAACCCAGTTAATCATGTTATACGTTTTTTGTGTTTTATCCCTGTGTTTGTCTTTTTGCTTTATCTGTATTCGTGCTGACTTGGTAATTAGCCGCTGGCTGTCGCGTTCAGCACATAAATAAATAGAGGACTGAGTTATTGTTATTATTGGGGCACGCGGTAGCGTAGTTGGTTCAGGCATTATGCTACAAGCCGGAAGGTGGCGGTTTCAAGAACCGATGAGGTCATTGGACTTTTCAATCGACCTAATCCTTCCAGCCGCACTAAGGTCCTGGGGTCGACTTAGCCTCTAACAGAAATGAGTACCAGGAATATACTTGGAATGTTCTTGGGAGTAAAGGACTGCCGGCGCGTAAGGCTGACAATCTTACCGCCATCTATGAGCCGATTGTCTAGACAATGTGGAAACCTCAACATCTCACAACCCTATGGACCTCCACGGCCTGTTACAGGGATACCTTTACTTTACTTTATTATTATTGTTATTAAATCAAAATTGTAAACTTTCGTCCGAATTTTAAAGTCTCGTACGCATGTGTAAACATATTGTCACGTGTATTAGTGACTCGTAGACGGGGTTTGGATTGGTGAATCGATTTACTTGACATTCACAAGTCGTAACTTCAAATAATTATGCCACTTTCACGATTTCTGTAACTATAACACACACAAAAGTCTTCAAAGTCTGCTTGCTTGGTAACACGACGAATACTTCCTTGTTTGGGTCCGAGTCTTATGTTACGACCAATTATCAGTCTGCCAGTCTGTCTTAGGGCGGCCGCACACTAACGCACAGAAAACGAACATGCCGAGTCTTGCTGCACGTGTCTGCAGCATGAAGCTGACGTCAGCATCATGATTCAGACGGGTGTGCGGCTGTTTTCATAATCTCATTCTTTTCAACTGTGCTCCTTTCATTGGGTCGTGTCGCAGACATCGTGTCTTGACTGTTACATGTCTTGACGCATGCCGGTGTGCGGCCTACCTTAGAATAACTCACCCATCTGGGGCTTACGACCAGATCTTTATTAGTATCAGATAGCTGCGGGTTAGTTGATGTAGGGCGCTCTCTCTGACGAAAGGACGGGTGTGTCGTTTAGAATTGCTGCTGGCCCTCGACAGCGCAGTCATTCTCGGGTCCGAGTCCCATGGGACTCGAGACCATATTTTGCTGTCTCATTCGAGACTCCCTTTTCGTCGCCTCCTAGGACTCGCAGGGCTACGGCGGAGATATTCGACCCGGCCTCCACATGGGAGTCAAACTTAAAGTTATAGTTAAAGTCAAAATCAAAATCAAAGTCAAAGTTATGTTACGACCGACAGTCAGTCGGCCAGTCTCAGGCTTAAGACCAGATCAATGTTACTGTCAAACAGTTGCAGATTTGTTGATGTGGGGCGCCATCTCACACTGGGGGCACCTAAGAAGGTTGTCGGGATCAGCATTACGTCGGATTATAAACTGAATTTGAAGGTACACAATTTGAAACTGCATGCGAATCCCCTGTATTTGACAACCACATGTTGGTTACTGTCAACTTCTAACACGCAGTTTATATACTAGTCTTCAATACATGTTCAGTAGCATGGCGTCTGCCAGTTTCAAACAGAGAACACAGTTATGGTAGTCTTTTCTAACTGAACACTGCTTGTGGATAATTTATGTCGGCAATTTTAACATAAGAAAATTACTCACCCGATCCTGACGCCGACGATACGATGGAAGCGGCGTCCCTCGGGGCTTGGTTCTGGCAATGCAGTGTACATGATATCGACGGCAAGTGTACTAGGCATCTCCGGACACATCCTGGCCATCATGTCACCTTCATGGGCACTCCCGTTTATAAGTGGGAGCCTGAAATAGACGTAACATGAATTTACTACGAAGAATGTATATACAACTATCAATACGATACACTGATTCATAAATTGTTTAATGATGCTGTTTCAACTTCGGTAGTTACACTGTCGGAGATGATCAATCAATGATGTACAGTAAGAGTTTGGAAGGAAAAGATGGAGGGGGGGGGTCACTTCAAGGTACTAATCCGGTATTTGTTCAGAGACACTGAAGGAAACCACGAAAAACTTCAGCCAGAATTACCGATAACCCAACCGAGACTCGAAAAGGGTGATACCCGTATATATANTCAGTGCATCTTAGATGCTGCGTCTGTACGTTTCCTCTTGCGACGTTCGCAGCTCAAGTACGTTTTTGTTAAGAGTGACGTATTTCCACTGTGTTTGTAGAAATGTAACACTAGGGAACCAAGTGTCAGATTTTGGATGCTTACGCTTTTATAAGACAAGAATTGTTTCAAGCGGTGTCCGTCTTCGGATAAAGAAGCTCAGGTGGAATAACACAACTCAGTCTCTTGATGCAACAAGCCATTACTTACAGGCTCTGGCGCTTGAATCCTACGCCAGTTGTAAAGCGCTTCACGGCTTCGTACTTTCTCAAAGTATAATTAGAATGAGGTGGGCATGGCATGTAGAATGAATGGGGGAGAAGAGGAATGCATATAGGATATTGGTTGGAACGTCAGAAGGAAAGAAACCACTGGGAAGACCAAGGCGTAGGTGGGTGTACAATATTAAAATGGATCTTACAGAGATAAAATGGGATCAGGATAGGGACCGCTGGAGGGCTCTTGTGAACACGGTAATGAACTTTCGGGTTCCATAAAATGCTGGGAAATTCTTGAGTACCTGCAGAATTGGTGGCTCCTCAGGAAGAGCTCAGCTCCGTAAGTAACTAAGTAAGTAAGCACGGCCTCGTATTTCCTGAACACCCACAGAGAAAAATACTGGAAAGAGAAGCATGAAACCTGGAGAAACTGCTCGTCCAGCCTTCTATTTCGTTTCTGGGCAGAAAACGCTGAGAAAATAAGGCCCATGCGAAATTCTTTCTCCTACAGGTTCTGTCTTATTAGAGATAACAATTACATAAATAAATGTTATATGGGAAAGTTAAACTGTAACCACGTGGTTTACTAAGCTTAATTATTAACGGTAACTTCAGACTACGGGCTGTTTCCACAACAGCTCTTCTATGTACATACATAGCTCAAGTGTTTTCGCTTCGGAAGATAAAGAAATTAAATAATAAGAAACAAAATTTTAAATCAGATATAGGTGATATTTTGTTTGAGTCATTCTTCTGTCCTTATTTTGCCTTATATTTTATTATATTTTAGAATTTATTCTGTTCTTTACGACGCTGTATCAACTGCAAATGTCATGTACCATCGAATAAGAACAGGATATGATTATGAAGCAGTGGGAACGTAGTAAAGAGACAGAGTGACAAATTCTTCGGTTCTCGTATGAACTGTGGGACATTGGTTTAATACTTTGGAACTGAACTTTATCCGTTCATATAGATTTTGGATCGATCAAATTAGTTAAATATATTTTATATCGAAGTCACACAAAAGAAAGTAATCGAATTAATCATGCAAGGACATCTTCTTAAACAGGTATATAGCAATTACTCCAGAGATCGTCAAATTCTCCTAAGGTGTCAAAACATATATTGTATAACTAAAATAGCTGATCTAACGTAAATTAATAAATTAAGCTCACCGTATACAGTACTCGGTATATGAGTAACTTCACCGTAGTTCTCGGTCTATCTATGGCTTCTCACTGTTCCATAATTTATTTTTAGACCATTATGTCCAATTACCTGTGTTCACAACACGCACACATAATGGGGAGACCGTGTCGTCATGTCCGCACATTTCATCTCCACCGAACGGACTTCAATGAAATTTGGATATTCACACTAAGAGCTGTCGATTGTCAAATGCAAACCCTGCTTCAAATGAAAGTCAAATGAATCTATCAATTTTATAAAAAAGAAAGGACGCTCTTCGTGCACAAATTTCTATACAATTTTCATCGTGGACTTAAGATGCAATTCTTTTTATATTATGAATATTTAAATAAATATAACTTCTCGTTCTATCAAGTCATTGGCTTTACAAAAGCAGATTTCTATTGTGCATAGACTTTGTACAGAATTTGAAACGTAGATTTCGAGATCTACGACTTTCGATTTGTTTATAATCGCACGCCGAATGCTTAAAATAAAAGGAAATATAATTCCTGACAATATGACGGGCTATTAGTTGTAAAACAGTATATTTATATCTGGAATCGTTGTTTCTACATAATAAATGAACATCAACGAAAATTAAGCAAAAAAAAAAAAAAGGCTAAGAACTCAATTTGCACTCGACAAATTACAAATTCTGACCCTTGTTTCATTTTCATTCGGGGAAATCTAACAGCACTAATAAATTCTGTACATACGTAAGGGAATTCGCACAGGACAACATGACGTCTATTTCATGATGAAATCTCATTTGTTACAACATAATGAGGAGCAGAGTAAGATTTTTAATGTAAGATTTGAGGCTTTCACGGCGGTGACTATGAAGAAAGCAGTCTTCTGGGATTTGGCACCGTGTATATGTGGTGTTAACCGACGTTTCGGAGGAACGTATCGCCTCCATCTTCAGGGTAGAAGAAAAAATATAAGAAATCTGCAAGCGAAGAGACCGTGAGAACCGGTAAAAGCAGACTGAGCAGTCTGCCAAATCCCACAAGACTGCTTTCTTCAAGATTTTTAATGTCGTCCGAATATCCTCAGTTCGTGTCCAGACGTTTGTCAATGTTAAGGAGTTTCTCAAAAGATTCTGGATACGTTAACAAAAATTAAGACATGATATTAATTTTCGTTCTGCATATACAGCGGAATGTAACTTCGCCGACAAGCGGCGGTCGCTCGGTCGGTATAGTTCGTTTGCGGACTAAACTCATGGATATATAGCGGAACACTTCAAAGTCTGAATTATAGGGCGTATAAAACAATTCGTGTTCAATCGCATCGACTACGAACGACATCTTCCGTAAATTCGTGACCGCCAAGAAATGGTTCAGACTTTTATTAAAAGTTGAATTTTGAACAGTTTGTTCACTTTCTTTGCAGACATTCCATTACCGCCGGCAGACTGACTGCAAGAGAACAAAAGAAGCCACCATCACACAGCTCTGCCGTCAGAGGAATACCCAATAATATTTCTTGACACAAATCGGCATCACAAGGCCAACACTGTAGGTAGGACATAAGGTAAAGTTGTTCCTCTGCTTAACTAATTAAGCACTACACCATGAAGGCGTATGGTGGAGTGGGCGTATAGATCCACATTCTCTTGACCTCGGCACTAGCTGAAGGTGAATGGTCACCTTCACGCCCCGGCCGCTTTACCCCAAGGGAAAGGGTCCCCGGTACCCATTGGATAGGAGGTTGGGTGGGCCCCAGAGCGGGTCTGGATGACATGGAGAAGATAAAGAGTACAGATATAATATACAAAATAATATAAGCGCGACATTTTAATGCAAATGTGAGAAACATTGGTCAATTAAAATAAACGTGAAAATACTGGTATTTATAAAGACCTACATATCGAATACTTCATGACAAGGGACCAGCGTCAAGCTCCATCCATAAAGAGTACTATCTTCTAGGACATAACGCAGTTCAGTCTACCGAAAGTCAACCGACGTTTCGGAGGAACACATCACCTCAATCTTCAGGTCGAAGAATAAGCCGAGCAAGAAACCAGTGAGGAAGTAAGTGGCGAACAGCTTTCACACTGGTTTCTTTCTCGGTTTATTCTTCGACCCTGAATATGGAAGCGATATGTTCCTCTGAAACGTCGGTTAATTTCGGTAATACAAGGCGTTATATGCCAGAACCACCGCTGTCAGAAACCCGATCTTCCATTCATAACGTACTGGTGATGTCTGGAAAACAAAAGCAGCAAGTGCGGTGGGAAGCAAATAAAATAATAGATCAGCGCATTAAACTGTAAGTTTTATTTAGCGGTAAAGATGCACTACTTGTCAATGACATGGAAGATATAAGATTAAGATTTTATGACGAATTGTTTGTACTCTGCTAGGAGCCAGAGATATCGTAAGGTACCATTTGTAAAGCAAACAACACAAATAATATTAAGATTCCCAGAAGAAACATTCTCCAGGATTTATTGCACTACAGCGCATATCGTCACGTAAACAAGGATACTGCTTCAGGCGCCCTCCTGAATAACCAAGAACACCTCATGCTGAGGTTTATGGGCCCGCAGGGAACGGAACTAGCAATGCAAGGTGATTACAGGCCCAGCTCCACCATTATGGAAACGGGTGGATGGAAAGTAATTCATGAAAGAAAATGATTTTTACTTATTTGTGATTTAATGCATCAGGCCTGATTGATTGATTGATCAGTAACTGTCAGATGACAGGTCCACAGTCTCTTCCAAAACAGTTCCTCCACTTAATGTGATCTTCTGTTTTTCGAAAGAGACTGTCCAGGAAAAGTGATAATGTGGTAGTTTTTCCATTTGCTTTCCACATCGCAGTACAACAGCCGTTCAAACCACTCTGGTCACGCCTGTTGCTATACGAACTTGAACCATCTCGAGCATCATTTGTTCTGTGCTTCAAGTCGCTGCTGATGACGCTGCTTCCGGCATCAGTTTTTGGTATGTATGATAAATGAAACATTAATAAAGGAACGTATTTTTAATACCTGAATATTGCGGCGGGTCGTAGTTCTATTCGGTGGGGTCTCTCTAACAAAAAAAAAACATGAAGCAGGTTCCTTGCCGAGAAGTTGGCAATAGCGCAGATGGCCAAGATATTGTCCCGTGTTTGGGTTACTAAGACGCAGGTTTGGATTGCCAATTAGATTAACTGACCTTCACTAGTTGTAGCTACAAATAGTTGTAATACTTTCAAGATTTCTGTACTTATAACACACAAAGTCTTCAATTCACACGTTAAGGCTTCACAGGTCGACTTCTAACTCTTCTTCAACTATGAACTTCCCGTGATTCTCTCCTACCGAGAACTGAACCGAACTGGTGTTATTCTGTAAACCTCGTTATATTGCCTCTGCACGGACCACGCACAGAAAATACATGTCTATTGTTGCATAAGGAAGATCACACAGAGGACAGGTCACGTGATCCCTAGCCAGCGTCTTCATTGGTGCGCTGTTGCCTAGAAATGCGAAATAGCATTTGTCCACTGAGACATATTTTCCACTGTCGCATGTTGACCATATTTACCGAGCCGTTGCCTAGAAAGGCTTTGAACAAATCCGTTACTATATTCGCCACCTTTTATGGAACCAGACGGGCCATTACGATTCCCACAAGAGTCCGTCACTCGTCCTATCCTGAGCCAGATAAATCCAGACCATACTTCCACCAACCGCATATATAGAATTATATTTAATATCAATTTTCCATCTACAATTCAATTTCTAACTTGGTCTCTTCCATTAAGAATCGCCGGCTTAAATGTATATAACCATGCGAGTTATACTCGTATGTCTCACCCATATCATCGTCCTTGAACTGATGACTCCAATAATATTTGACAAAATAATCTAAAAGTGATCACAGATGACAATTAACTAACTTGCTAATAATACAAGAAATGCTCCAAGAACGACTGTGTGTATGTGTGAATGGTAACGAAGACTTGCCGAGAGTCTTGCTTACCTGAGGATCGGTACCACCGGTTCGGAAGCTGTCACATTTATTCCCGTTTTCCTGATAGCTCCACCCTGGCTCACAAAATCGCCAGATATCAGACTTTCCTGAAGACGAAGCACCCGGTTCCTGCAACAGCGAAATACGTATACCCTAAAGCTGCTGTCCGGGTCACACCATCTTCAATATTATTAGAGTTGTAGTGCTTCTCTTTGGTCATTTCAGGATTTACCTTAAATCTCATAGCATGAAGATCGACTGAATGGTATTCTGGATTCAAATAGAGTATTTCATATTTATGCTACACAGTATGAGACATACACAACGAGGTAAAATAGAGTACAATCATCTAGCACAAATCGACTGGCCTGAAAGAGGTGTTTTCTGCGTGGCAAGCACCGATGGCTGTACATGCAACATCGGANCGGTAATCTGGATTCAAAAAGAGTATTTCATATTCAAATAACATTTTATTTTTTTATGCTACACAGTCTGAGATATTGACAATGAGGTAAAATAGAGCACAATCATCTAGCACAAATGGACTGGCCTCAAAGAGATGTTTTCTGCGTGGCAAGCACCGATGGCTGTACATGCAACATCGGATACAGCAACAGAGGAGCGATGTTTTCTATGCGGACCGTGCCTAGATGTTATAAGCAGGAAAATTAGAGGAGGGAGTCCAATTGAGTTGAGGTGAGTGAAGTGAAGAGTTTTTGGTTGGTGAGTGAGCGAGTAAATTACTTAGTAGTATAAATATTAAGCTTCTGGACATTATCTATCGTCCTTGTTTTTGTCTAAACCACCTTCCTGTTTATATTTCAAAAACAAACCGTTTCGGAGACTGGATTCTGTCTCCGTCTTCAGGTAAAACCTGCTCAGTTGAGCCCAATCGATAGAGATACTTCCCTGTCTCCGGAGATGGACTAGCTCTATCGTTTGGGCCCAACTGAGTAGGTTTTACCTGAAGAAGGAGACAAAATCCAGTCTCCGAAACGTTGTGTTTTGAAATATAAGCAGGACGGTTGTTTAGACAAAAACAAGGACGATAGATAATGTCCAGAAATATAATACGAGTATTTGTATTAATGAATCATCGTCACAAATTTTTAGATCTTATTTACAAACGTATAGTTTTATTAGTCAAATTACTGAAAAGCACATATCATCTAATAAAGCGATGAAAGCTGTTTTGTTGATTATGTTAAACGCTTGACAGAATAAAAAGAGACAAATTATGACAGATGGTAATTGAAGAAGGTCTGCCCAATTCATCTGATACAAACAATTGAAGGCATGAATAAAAATATTACAATGGACTGTAACGGAAGCAATAAAAAGAAATAAATAAATACAGTTTATTTCACTCAGAACTTCAAATAGTGGTGCAGTAGATCGCCTGCTCACTCCGGTGTCTATATAGATCAAATAATTGATGGCAAAGCCAGAAATTACGTTTTGTAGAAATTAATTTTAATAACCACATCATAGCCATATATTTATGAATTCTGAAAACAGATACGATTTTTTTAACCTCTGAAACTGTCTGTACTGATGTGAATATTTTTTATTTATTAAAAAGACTGACTTGAATGTTCGCGAATTTTGCGAACATGCCCTTACTTCGTCATAAATTTTTCAGGCCCTGCTTATAGTTACTGCATAAAAAGAGATGTTTCTAAATTCTTTTTATATTGTCCATTAAAATATACAAAATTATAATTTTGCCTGTGGTTCTATATGGGTGTGAAACTCGGTCTCTGACATTAAGGGAGGAACATAGACTGAGGGTGTTTGAGAACAGGGTGCTGAGGAGAATATTTGGACCAAAGAGAGATGAAGTGACAGGAGGTTGGAGCAAACTGCATAATGAGGAGCTTCATAACTTGTACTCTTCTCCAAGTATAATTAGAATGATCACATCAAGGAGGATGGGGTGGGCATGGCATGTAGCACGAATGAGGGAGAAGAGGATTGCATGTAGGATATTGGTGGGAAAGCCCGAAGGAGAGAGACAAATAGGAAGACCAAAACGTAGGTGGGTGGACAATATACAAATGGATATTAGAGAGATAGGATGTGATGGTATCAATTGGATTGATCTGGCTCAGGATAAGGACCAGTAGAAGGCTCTTGTGAACATGGTAAGGAACCTTCGGGTTCCATAAAATGTTGGGAAATTCTTGAGTAGCTTGAGAATTGGCGGCTCCTCAAGAAGGGCTCAGCTCCAAGAGTAAATAATGAGGAAGTATTTATACTGCCCACATCACAGATGATATTATTTTCATGAGGCTGTCTAGTGTACACAGGTCTAAATTTCCTGCTAGGTGTCCATTGTGACATCACGACGGTATAGTTTAACAAGAAAATCCGGTCGCTACTAGGCAACGGAAAACTAAACGTTTCCACGGAGCGATAAACACGTTTCCGTGGCAGCGAATCTGTGACGCCACAATAGAGAACTGTTACCGATCTCACTTGCGTCGAAGTGGAGGCCCCATTTCGAAACACGTACATGTTTAGGAAAGAATAAAAGTCTTAGTCATGAAACTCGAGTAGATTGAAGCCAGGAATGACTTTGCTGGCGGAGGCCAGCAGCAATTTAACCAACTGACCGACCGACCGAGAAGGGACAGCTCGTCAGAGAGGATGTTACACAAAGAATATTACTGCAAGGGTTCAGTTGGGGAAAAAAAAGAACCCTGGTCGTGAGTCTTAAGAGGCCTGACGCCAAGATGAATTGATTGGCGGTAAAGTGCCAGTCGTCAGCCGGTAACGACGTGAGCAGAAGCCGTTGTTGGGATCCGTTACCAGGCGATAACTGGTGAAGTCATGGAAGACTTAGCGAGTGCTGTAGTGAGCAGCAGTGTGCGCGAATTAGTGATAGTGTTATAAATACTTGTAGTTACGAGCTGTAAGAGTTCAATAAATCCAATTACCATTCCTAACTCCATGTCTTGTCACTAAATCGTTACATGACTAAATAAGTGGCATAATTTGGAGTGATAATTTGAAGGCCCCCAGAGCCAGGAGGTCAATTTTGATTAATTTAAAGCGGGAGGGTTGGCAGTTTCCTTCCATAGACCTAATAGAGAAAACTCAAAGATATCAGGAAATTTACTCCGTAAGCTGCAAAATATATACGACATCCAAGGTTATTAAAGCGCTGTGCAAGTATGGCGGTAGAACAGATTTTTTTCATGCGGTTCAAATACCCATTCATAATTCTTTTTTTTTACACATTAATATAACTTTTTAACTTGTTATTTCTTCTAAAGTTCAGCTGCAATATACTGTATTTCTTCTTGTTGATTAATATAGAGTCTACTATCGATTCTTACTATCCTAGCAATGAGTAAAATTTCCTATTGCTCACATATCACAATTACAATTCTTCTATCTTTCTATTTAACATATGAATGGGGAAGGTTTTGCATGCTGCCACCTAGTGACTTCAAATTAAACTTGTCCTTATCATAGTAACGGCACACGTAAGGAAATTCGTTTCGGTTTGAACTGACTGAAAAATAACTTTCATAAATAAATCAAAATATGCATGTAACAACAATGAAGGTACATCCCGTGTTATCACGTACATACATGTCCTCGCGTAATCCGACAACAGCAGGGGGACAGAGTTCTGGAACAGCCAGTTACGAATCCTACATGCAACGGACATACTGGATAACCATGTTTGGGATCCACTTCCTCTTACAGACTCTTCGGACTCCGAATTCCAATTGTATTTTCGATCGAAACAGATGCAGTCTGGTAAAGCAAATTGAGTCTGCACACTGCTGATTGGCTGTACGGGCAAAGGAAGGGAGGTGACGTGAAGAGAGGCCCAAGGTGAACTTTACCAATGAGCCTCCGCCTCGAGGTATGCGATTTACGGCAGGTTATTTCATTACTTCACATCAAGCGACGAGTTAGATATTAGCAGCTAAGCAAACCAGAGGCACAGCATGTGAACTGGAAGGGTTCAAGCATGAATCGGTCCCTAACGGCAGAGCTTGAGGACAATGACAAAATGTTGCCTCTCCTCTCTAAGAATTAAACAGGAGGGCACGCGCCCGAGCTGTTCAACATGGACGTCATGAAGCGTGAACTGCCTGTGGCAGCATTTCCGTTCGTTACTTTATGACACTGCCAGAATCTAGATTACAGCGCTACAACATTGAACGGCTGCAAAGGATGTGGAGGGAGTCGTCGTGACATAATCGACGTACTATCCCGACGTTCCACTAAGAGATTAGGGAAAACCACGAGAAACCTCAGTCACCACAGCCGGTATCTCTTTTTGTAGTATGAGCATTCTCGTATGTAGGCCTATATAAATTGAGGTTGGAGAAAACTGCATAATGAGGAGCTTCATAACTTGTACTCTTCTCCAAGTATAATTAGAATGATCAAGTCAAGGAGGATGAGGTGGGAAGGGCATGTAGCAAAATGGGGGAGAAGAGGAATGCATATAGGATATTGGTGAGAAAGCCAGAAAGAAAGAGACCACTGGGAAAACCAAGGCGTAGGTGGGTTGACAATATTAAAATAGATCTTAGAGAGATAGGATGGGATGGAATGGATTGGATTGATCTGGCTCAGGATAGGGACCAGTGGAGGGCTCTTGTGAACACGTTAATGAACCTTCGGGTTCCACAAAATGCTGGGAAATTCTTGAGTAGCTGCATAATTGGCGGCTCCTCAAGAAGGGCTCAGCTCCATGAATAAGTAAGTACTCGTAAGTATTTTTTTTATTACTTGGTGAGGTGGGACTGAGTCCACTTGGTACTGCGGTCACCTCTGGTCTTATACCAGCCCCAGATGATAGGTGAGGGTGATTATGGAGCAATTGGTGGAATGAAGATTAACAGGGGAAACCGAAGTACTCGGAGAAAACCTGCCCCAGTGCCACTTTGTCCAACACAAATCCCACTTGACCAGACCCCGGGATCGAACCCGGGCAGCCGCGATGGGAAGCCAGCGACTAACCGCTTTAGCTATGGCGCGGTCAAGTAAGTAAGTAAGTAAGTAAGGCCTATATAAATTATTAGGAATGAATGTAACGAAACTGGGGAAGGTTACGTAGGGCACGAGAAAACAGAAGGACATGAAGATGGTTGCCGGAATCTCACGAACAAGCGGATCTGCAAAGCTATGTGTGTGTGCGTGAGGGGGGTTATTTAACGACGCTTCAGTTATCGAGACTATACAGCGTCGGCCAGTAGGATGACAGATCAATGATGAATTTGAAAGGGTTTTGAAGGAAGCGGTCGCAGCCTATGCGAGGTAATATCCTGGCATTTGCCTAGAGGGACTGAGGAAAGCCACAAAACCTGCAGTCAGGATAACCGGTGTTCCGACAGAGACTAGAACCCAGCAACTTGTGAATACAAGTATAGACCAACCGGTTTAGTGCGAAACTGGTATTTCGGAGTCTTGAATGCAAGAAGGGCGGAAGAGTTCGTTGATGTTTATATTACTATCGTCTTCCGTTAGTCTCGGTCCTTGTCAAGTCATACCGAACGCAGAATCTTTTAAAGTACATATACAAAACTCGGCTGAAAAAGTAAGAAATTATATTTCTTTAATACCAACATGACAACTGGGGTTGGGCGGGGAGGGGGTGGGAGCGAGAAATCAAGGGTCTATTTTCTGACAAACGTCCACTCACTTCCAACAAGCAAATATAATTTATGCTTCGGTATTCATAACTGTTCCTATATTAGCCATTCCGTAATTGTCTAAATAAATAATAAAAAATGACAATCTTTCACTTTAAAGCAGTATTTTTTTTTTCAATGGCTCGTCTAGCCGATTCAGGGCCCAGGCCTCTTACTCAGTTCCGTAATAATATTTCACAGACGGTAGGACTCGTTGGACAAGTGATCAGCCCGTCTCAAGGCCGCTACCTAAACACAGGACAACACAAACACAAAATAAACGCATACACACACCAAACATCCATGTCTTGAGTGGGACTCGAACTCACGATCCCAGCGTCAGAGCGAGGGAAGATATTTCATGCCTAAGACCGCGCGGCTACAGTGACCGACCTTTTAAAGCAGTATGCATTTTAGAAAAAAAATTCATTTTTTAATAACATAACTATATTCACTCCCGCCCCTTTCCCCTAGGATCATACAGTGCCGGGACTCTGATCGGTCATATCCTATTTCAGAGGCTTCTCTGGGATTCACCGGAAACAGGAGCGCGAAAATTATAGCTCGGCTCGGAAGAAGGCTGCTCAAGGACGCTTATTCTGAACAGTGATGATGTTCAGTTTTCATTTATTGATAATTTTTCCAAGTGAACCTCCGGGTTCGCTGTTTCTTCCGACGATGGCGATGATTTCCATGTAAAATCCCGATATTCGCCATGAGAGACCCAAGAAAGTCGGTGGCAGAGACCAGATTCCAACCAGTTAACTCCTGAATATTGCTACCGCTACACTAATATTGCGACGTGCCAGAAAGTCGGAATTGTTCAGCAGATGAGAGTTGATTTCGTAGGCAACGACCAACGTTCCCGCTACAGCGCTACAATCGGAATTCTAACACTGAGTTTCCACGGTTACAACGAATTGTTCGAAGCGTTGTATGACAACGGGAAAACCAAACTGTTGAGAAATGTGTTCTATAAGCGGTCCGAAAAAAGGCCTATTTAAGGGGGTTGAATGTACCACTTTACCCGTCGCCCGTGTGGAGGCGGGGTCGAATACCTCCACCGTGACCCTGTGAGTCATAAGAGGCGACGAAAAGGGACGTCTCAAATCTGAGACAGTAAAATATGGTCTCGAGTCCCAAGGGACTCAGACTCTAGAAAGACTGCACTGGCAAGGCCAGCAGCATATACAAAAGGCAGACCCATCCTCTCGTCAGAAATGGCGCCACGCAGAAACAAGACCGTAAATGTCAAACATTAATAAATATCTGGTCATGAGCCCCAGCCTGGGCTCGACATCAAGACTTACTGACTACCAGACCGTCAGTCGCAATGTGTCTTGGACTTTGACTTGGACTCTACCCGTGAGGAGGCGTGGTCGAATACCTCAACCGTGACCCTGCGAGTCGTAGGAGGCGACGAAAAGGGAAGTTTCAAATCTGAGACAATAAAATATGGTCGCGAGTCCCAAGGGACTCGGACCCGAGAAATACTGCGTTGGCAAGAACCAGCAGCATATATAAAAGATAGACCCGTCCTCTCGTCAGAGAAGGCGTCCCAGAAGAGCAAGACCGTAACTATCAAAGAGTAACAAGTATCTGGTCATGAGACACCAAGACTTACTGATTGACTGACTGACTGACTGACTGACTGGCCGTCAGTCGCAATGTGACTTTGACTTAGACAGTTGAGCTCTAGAAGTTGCCGAGAGCAGTGGAAGTTTGCAGTTTGGCTTTGACTGTAGCAGAAGCAGTAACTGTGATAATGAAAGTGGGAATATTTGTACTCTCAAATGTAAAAGTGAGAGTTTAATAAACATAGTCGCCAATTCTGAGACCTGGGTGAATTTCTTTGTTATAATACATAGTCAACACGTGACAATATGATCGATGGGAAAGTATATGAAATTCCCTCTACACTGCACGTAAGTCACTTCTGCTTGTACCATACGACCATCTTTTTATTCAATAAAGCGTTTGTGGGATTACCGCATGCTATCGCAATCCTCAAAGTCTTCGATTCCCATTTCCAGACGGCAAGAAGTTATGACGTCATATCCGAACTCGAGCGGCTTCGTCTCCCCGCATTCAGCATCTGCAAGGAAGAAGAAGAGAATCGGTGAAGTACAGGATGAAATCTCAAATATAATGGAACAGAGGAATACAAAGCGAATATTGTAACAGTCTTGTTTCTGCTTCGCGAAGAAAGGGGCGAGCCGAAATTAATATACAGGATGTTTCTCAACTATTGTCGGTGTTCCGTTCATAAGTCACGGAAACCACGACAATAAGTTAGAATCACCCTGTACATCTGAACGCCCTTTGTGACCTACTCTTCGCATCAAAAAGGACTGACTTATTGTACGCCGTTTCTGCTTCTCTTAATAACGCCATAACCAACTGATGAATGTATACGTACATGGAACTTGTTACGAACAACACGTCACACAAACAACTCAAGATATGTATGTTATCACTTCTTATCATCAAGAACACTAATATGGCGACCACAGAACTTCTAAGGTCGGGCGACATTAGTGCTAATTTTTTTTTGGAGGGGTTAATTCACGACGCTGTCAGTATGTAGACTATACAGGGTCGAAAGTTAGGACAACTGATTAATAATAAACTGGAATATGTTTTGAAGAAAGAGGTTATGACCTAACTGAAAATTTTCCTCGATGGATTGAGGAAAACTATGAAAACGGACGAGATTCAAACAGAGCACCTCCCCCAAATACAAGCCTGGAGCGTTATCATTGTATTAATTTATTTTCAAAACTCTGAATTAATTATGAACGAACGGATGTGTCCCTTAGTGCCGATAAAAGTCTAGTGATGGCATAACTTAGCGGTACTGAAGTTTGTTGCTGACTAAACTGATGAGAAACATAGACACATCACGGCAGAAGTTCCTTGCTCCCTCCGCTCCCGCCCTTTTTCATTTCGAAGAGTTTCGAAAAGTTGTTTGCAGATCTTCTTGCGTTATACAGTTCATTTCACACACCAGTTTCTGTGCTACGAAATCCTAAACATCAGCTGAGTAATTTGACAATTTACAAAAACATTCTCAGCTGAATGCCAGAAAGTATTCTCAAAATTCGATCTTCGCTTAAATTTTCGTGAATGTAATTCTGATCAGTCACTCACGTTACGAAAGCAAATAATTTCCTGTAGGGCAGCGTCCATATCTCAAGCCCCGTTTGCTGTTTCACTTCAGCTGAAGTCGGTAAAGGAGAAACAAGTCCTGCCGTTAATGAGATCCAAAAGTTTGCGATGAAGGTACTTTAGCACAAATATTGTGTTTCTGCACATTATTCATCGCGTTGTCTTTATCTAAAATCCGCCCCAATCTCCCGAGATAGGGACTAGCTCTATCGATTGGGCCCAAATGAATAGGTTTTGCCAGAAGACAGAGAGAGAATCCAGTCTCCGAAACGTCGTGTTCTGAAAAATAAACAGGACAGTTTTTTATATTAAGACAAGAGGATGGATAAAGCCCAGAAACATAATATTTGTACGAGTATGAAATCCTGTTGTGTTATTGGCTGATATTTCAGATTGTAATTCAGTTTGATATATCTGTACTTGCTACACATCAACGGGAGCTATTACTTTACTTCATCAGGACTGTGAAGGTGAAAATTCACCGACTGGAAAATTAGTAACAAGAGAATCTCTGGTACAAAATAAATTTCGAAAAGAAAGTCTTAGCCTGTAAGTCTACATATGGAATAGACTTTACCAGAGATACAGAACAGATCTTTGAGGTTACCAAGCCCGTTCCAATCAGGAGGTCCGAAGCTCGATTCTGAGTCTGAAGGTTTTCCTTGGTATCTCCAGGCAAGTCCCGGAACAGCAGGCTACCTTAAATTAAGCCATGACTGTCCCTTCACATGTACGTTACAGTTCATCATGCATTCGTTCGAATCTCTATCACGTATAAATCAGAAAATACATAACGGTTAAAAGTAATTATACATACAATTTATTTTTACTTTTTTTTTAGATATGTCCATCTATTTTTATGGTTACTTTTTATTTTGCCGATCATAGTGGTCGCGCGGTCTAAGGCATGGACTGTCTCCGCTCGCCCGAACGCTGGGATCGTGGGTTCGAATCCAACTCCAGGCATGGATGTCTATATTGGGTGCGTTTATTCTACGTTTGTGTTGTTATGTGTGTAGGTAGAGGCCTTGCGACGGGCTGATCACCCTTCCAAGGAGTCGTACCGACTGTGTATCAAGAAATTGAAAAAGCCGCCAAGGCCAAACAAACGGCTGTAGAGCCATAATAATAACTTACTCATGGAGCTGAGCCCTTCTGGAGGAGCCGCCAATTCTGCAGCTACTCAAGAAAATCCCAACATTTTATGGAACCCGAAAGTTCATTACCGTGTTCACAAGAGCCCTCCACTAGTCCCTACCCTGAGCCAGAGCAATCAAATCCATAACACACCATCCTGTCTGTCTAAGATTAATTTTAATATTGTTCACCCACCTACGCCTTGGTCTTCCCAGTAGTCTCTTTCTTTTTGCCTTTGTCACCAATATTCTACACACATTCTTCTTCTCCCCCATTCGTGCTACATGCCCTGCCCACCTCATCCTCCTTGACTTGATCATTCTAATTATACTTGGAGAACAGTACAATTTATGAAGCTCCTCATTATGTAATAATAATTTTAATCTGTTTTTAGATTTGGCTTCACTCAGTGCATTTTTTAACTACAGCGAATTAAAAGTCTTTTCTTCCTTAAATTCAGGGCCTGATAATGGCCAATAACTCACATGCATAAAGTAAATATTCATTCTACAATACATTAAGGCCGAATTTGATTCTAGGAGTTGCAGGAAAATCGATATACAAGGAACCCAATTTTTTATCAGCACCAAAAGTTCACTTCTACGGATGATGAATGGTCGCGTGTGAGCTTCAGGTTAGCACCTGTGACCCTATCATGGCCGCCACACGAACAAGTTGTTCTGGAAGCGAAACCGGAGGGGAAATAAAATGAAATGTTTTAGTGCTGCCGAAAAAGCAACAGAGATGTCATAAGAAGAGGAAGAAATAAATGTAGCCCTAAACTGAACATCGTCCTTCGAAACCACGAAACAGCACCCTGACGGACCAAACTGTGTAACAATGTACAGTTTAAGGTTCCCAAAATGATGATTATGAAGAGTCCTAACTTCAGAGATATAACGCCATGTAATCTGCTGAAAGTCAACCGCGTTTCGGAGGAATATATAGCCTCCATCTTCAGGGTATAAGACTATGCCAAACAGAAAACCAGCATCAAGCAAGCAGGAGTCTCTTGTTTGGTTTATTCTTTGATCCTAGAGATGAAGGCGACATGTTCCTCCGAAACGTCTGTTGACTTTCAATGGACTAGACGACGTTATATCCCAGAAGATAACAATACAAACTCCGTGGTTTAAGTCCGCAAGCGAACTATACCGACCGAGCGACCGCCGCTTGTCGGTAAAGTTAGTGCCAGCTTTAGCGGATAGAGGGTGTCGCGTGGCCAGAGCAATGAATTCCCACAACCGTTAATTTCGGTTTTCTAAACCGGAGCCGCTATTTCCTTGAAATAGCTCCTCAATTATCCTCATGAGTCTCAGTGGACCCCGTTCCAGACCCTCTAAATATCCCAGATGATATGACTGTCTTTTACAGGTGTATGCAGGCCTATCAAGCCATTTGCATGTTAGATGAAGCGACTAATTACCCTCATTCTAACTGAACGGATTACATTCGGGGATATAAATGAATTAACCCAACAAACAGACGTCTTCTTTTTGTTACGTCAGTAGCGACTATGAACATCCGAATAACTAAACAAGGGGGATACGGTATCCTTGTTACATGATCAAATGCGTGAACACTGCCTTATTTGCGAGTAATTACAGCTGAAGTACCAGTTTTTCTAACGGGGTTTTACTTAAGCTAGACTGTACTGAAATAAAGAAAGTATATTTATTACGACAGACTGTATAAGAAAATATATTTATTACGACAATCACATTACTGTAACTCACTTTTAGCAATGTTATGATCCTTCAATTCGTCCAAAAGTCCACAGATTTTCTTATTCCTTCAAAACAATTCTTTTATTATGTATTAAGCCAATCTTGCCGGTCACGGTAGCCGAGCGGTCTAAGGCATGTACTGTCTTCGCTCGCTTGGAAACCGGAATCGTGGGTTCGAATCCCACTCAGGGCGTGGATGTTTAGTTTGTGTGTGCGCGTTTTTCTGTGTTTGTGCACAGGTAGAGGCCTTGCGATGAACTGATCACCCCCCCCCCCAATGAGCCCTACCGTATGTGTAAGATCTAGAAAAACCGAAGTGAACGAAGAAGTTCATGGAGGTAGGCCACTGGGGCTGTAGTGCCAAGGGGAAAAAAATTAAGCCAATCTTGCACTATGTTTATCCATAAGTAATGCTCATTTCAGACGCAGTTTCATCCACGTTGCTTTTTCGAGTGTCCCGAACACGCTGCTCCTTCTGCTGCTTAACCTGAACACATGCTCCAGTCGACGGCAACCCAGAACGCATATCAGTAACATTCGCCCACCCTCCTTTGACTCTTTATACTTTCTACTCACAATTTTCCAGTAAACTCCACAAATCTTCATGCTCTCTGACAACAAAACTAGGATAGCAGATCATTCTTGTTCTTTTGGGCATTCTGCCAATGGATCAGCCATATTGCTCGTGTCACAATAGGCCTCTCATCACTAATACAAAAAAAAATCAGATAGGTGAAAATGGAGGAAAGTTAATATTGCTTATATCCACAATATTTTTTTTCAGAACTACCAACTTCTCTTTAGTGGTACGCTAAAATTAGCTTCACTTTTAATTTCCCCTCATATATTTTATTTCCTTAACATCAATTTTAACGAAGTATTCTTCCACTGGGTTCTCTCGTCATACTGCGCAAAATCACACGTGATAAATCCATAAAATTAGCTGGCAATATCGACAAGAAGACCTAAAATCCAATTATGACTACACAGTTTGAATTTCACTTCATTATTCAGGTGCGAGGCGACGGACTCTACGTGTCCCCCTTCTCGTGTTCTCATCATG